GACACTAATGATTCAAAGATTAAGTTTCGGCGTTTATCTCCATCCCTGCTAAAATTGTTACACTTTCATGCCTCACATAGTCGTCTCACAAATAAGAGCAAGAACCACTTAACATTTTGGCGCTCGAACAGGGGTGACTGCGAGTGCATGTGTAGCATATTTTAGCAAAATGGAGACCGAGAAGCTGCATCAGATTGGGAGAGACATCGGCTTAACCGGAGCTGACCTTGCCCAATTTATTAAGGAGGGAATTCAGTGCGAGCGGGAGAAAGAAACTGCCGCTCGAGAGGAGAGAAAGGAAGAACGAGCATGGAAGCAAGCGGAACTGAAGGTGCAAGAAGCAAAGGTGCAAGCAGAGGTCAGAAGAGAAGAGATAAAGCTCCGTCAGATGGAGCTGAAAAAGGAATCGGTCGAAGAGAAATCCTCGGAGAGTGAGCACAATGTCAAGGTAAGGTATCCTAAGTTACCTGTATTTATAAGAAGGCAGATGACATTGATGCTTATCTCCAAAGATTTGAGCGGTTTGCCACTAGCGCGGGCTGGCCGGAGGAGATTTGGGCGATAAGCTTAGCCTCGTTGCTCCAGGGACGAGCCCTAGATATCTACCATCAACTATCTCAGACGGATGCAGGGAATTACAGCGATCTGAAATCAGCTTTATTAAGAGGTTTTGACTGTACTGCAGAAGGATTCAGAGTTAAGTTTAGAAGCTGTAGATTTTCTCGTGGTGAAACGGCCAGGATGACGAAATTGTGCGCACGGTGGATAGAAATGGAAAACTGTAGCGCTAGCTATAACTCCATGAAAAACTTAATGATAAGAGAACAATTTATCTCTTCCTGTGATCGTAATTTAAAACTATTTCTTAAGGAACGCTCATTGGCGATTCTGCAGGATCTTGAAGAAATTGCAGATCGGTATATCGAGGCTCATGGTCATTTTAGCCTTAGAACCCCCCAACAAGCGCCTGTGTCAAGGCAGTCGTCGGCGCAGCAGTTCGGGCAGGTAAATGAGGGTAATGACAGGAGCTTCAGAAAGACCCTATCTACTACTCTTCCCCAGGGAAAATGTTATATTTGTCAAAAGGGAGGACACAAGGCGTGGGATTGTTATTCCAGACAATGCAAATGAAAGTAAGACTGCAAGCACGCCAGCGACGTCCGGAGTAATGAGGAAAGAGGCCGCGGCGGAGACATCACAGGGAGCGCAGAGCATCGCTGGGCCCCCGCGAGACGACGCGGCGCAAGTTGTGCAGGTCGACCCCGTGCAGGTGATTGATGATCACGGCTGGATGAAGGTGAATGGAAATGGATTCCGGGAGGCTTGTGGTGGATCAGGAAAAAATGGAAATGCGAAGTTAATCACCCAACCGGGAGAAGTGGAAGGACACAAAGTGACGGCAATGAGGAACAACGGCTGTACTACGGTGTTGGTGAAGAGGAGTTTGGTACCTAATCATAAGTTGACAGGTAAAAACTGTGTGGTTAAAATGGCTAATTATTTTGTTATCTGGAAGCAGAAATTACTGTGCAGAGTCCTTTCTATACAGGAATAACTTAAGCTGTCTGTGTACCTAATCCTATATATGACTTGGTAATCGGAAATATACCAGGCGTAAGGTCAGGAAAAGATAGTGACGGTAAACACACATGTGGTGTAGTGACACGGAATAGGCAGGCGACGGAAAGGAAACAGTATTGGCAGTGTCTAACATGTTAAATATGACGATCAAGCAAGCACAGCAAGAAGACAAGACCTTAGATGGAGTAAGAAAGTATGCAGAGGAAAGCAAAGAATTCTATCGTAGAAAAAATAATGAAACAAAGATCTAGTGATGGAGGTTTTCTGGCCCGGTATAACGAAGGACATTGAACGATATTGCAGATCATGTGATGTGTGTCAGAGGACTGTTGATAAAGGTAAAGTACGAGAAGCAAAATTAGGGAAAATGCCAATAATTGGAGAACTTTTTTCTCGTTTAGCTGTCGATATTGTCGGCCCAATTGATCCGCGATCTTCTGACGGTTCGAGATACATCTTGGCGGTCGTGGACTTCGCGACCAGATACCCGGAGGCTGTGGCACTGCAGAACATCGACACTACATCAATGTGTGTTTGTGTGTGTGTGTATGTATACAGACATACATACATACACACGCGCGCGCGCGCGCAATACACAACACACAAATATGTGTATATATCCATGTATGTACATATATTTAAATGTATATATATTTATATATACATATACACACATATATATGTATATATATTCATATATGTATATATATGTAAATATATATATATACATATATATATATATATATATATATATATATATATATATATATATATATATATATATAAATATATATACATACATATATATATATACATACATATATATATGTGTGTGTGTATGTGTGTGTGTGTGTGTGTGTGTGTGTGTGTGTGTGTGTGTGTGTGTGTGTGTGTGTGTGTGTGTGTGTGTGTGTGTGTGTGTATCTGTGTATGTGTGTGTGCGATCTTGAGAGTGTTCATAAAACTGAAAGCTCCCTCAATTTGCATACACATAGCAAAACTCTGCGGAGCATCTATTTCCATTTTCATTAACAATGTTCTTTCAATTTACCCAAAAGAAGGTAGACAAAGAACATTTTCCACGAGTTCTTTCTGCTCAGATTTTTTTCCCCATTTAAGTATTCGTACACCTCTAATTGCGCCTTTAATGGTAGTAAAACTCTCTAATTACTGTGTTCTCTCCCTACACCCTTCTACCTTTGTATTTCCCTTTGTATTTACTTTGTATTTAATTGCTCAAGATTCTAGTTGAGAATTTTAAAAAATGTTGGTGAAGATGAAGAAAAATGGAGTGCAAATAAAACGCATTTTCCCAATATCCTTTATTGATCGATTTCAATTCTTTACACAAACAAACTTCCCACATTTCAATTCCGGGAAAGGTATCCAAAAAGACCAATAAAGATACAAGGGGAAAAAAATAGATTTATATTCATTACAAAGCTCTTCATGTGTTGCCACGCACAAGCTTATATATTTATTCAATATCTTTTTTTTTTTTTTTAATCTTTTTATTTTTTAGTTTCAGCAGATGAAGAAAAACTTACAAAATACCTACGGAAAAATCTCGCTACATTTGTTTTTCATGAAGCAAAGACTCTGGCAACTATGCATAACACAGGGATGGCGCGGCTGTGTGTGTGTGTGTGTGTATTTAAGTGTGTGTTTATATAATTTCCAAAAATTAATTATCATCTTTCTTTTATTTTCATTGTTGTTGGAGTGTAATAGCGAATGAAAATTTAGGGAAAAAAATAAAACAACACAAGAATTTAAAACGTGGATGTTACTAATACTATCTGTACTACGTAATATCTTTTGTTTTGAGAAGATACAACTACCTTTATGCTAAATCTACGTGACTATAAATTTTACCTTTTATTCGATGTGTTTTTTTTTTTAATTCAGATAAAATTTAATGTATGTATACTGTATAATTATCTTATTTCCTCGTAACACTAATTACCAATGCTGTCGTAGTGTTTATTTTTTTTATTTTCCTTAAAGAGACAATGTAGCAATCTACTCATAGCGAAGCTGGGACACTGACAATATTAAGTGATAAGTCAAAACTGTTCTGTTGTGGTCAACTACTGGGAAAAGTCTACGGATATTGAATAACTCTTTTCAGTTAATCTTTGGTCTCGTTAGAATGTAATGACTTGCCTTATATGTATATATATATATATATAGCTTATATACTTTATAGCTACTATTGTTGGATTAAGCTCCTTCTTCTTCTTTACTCTAAATTTCGTCTCTGATTTTTTTGCGAATTTCAATATGTCTTGTACAGCCTACTACAATATCTTGTTCCCTTATCAACATATATATTTCAGTTTTATTTTAATAACTTAATCAAACATTACAGTGCATGGTCAAGTACCCTAACACAGCCTAGGGTACTCTTGTTTCTATTGCTAAAATTGCACATAGACAAAGGAATCGATCTTACAATCATCATTACATTTTTTTTTTTTTTGTCTTTTTTTATTTATTTTTTATGTATTTTATGTTCAAGTACACGAGTACATCTAGGCAATACTGCATACCAACGCTTGGGTGAAAATGTGTGAGAAAAATCGTCTACTGCAGCTCAAAAGTTGGGGGTATGGGGGAGAGGGGGAGGATGGAGGATGGATGGGGAGGGGAGGGAAAGGGGGACGGGAGATGGGAAGGTTGGAGGGGGGGGTGGGGGTGAGGGATGATGAGGGAGAGAGGGAGAAGGAGGAAGGAGGAAGGAGGAAGTGGAGTTGGGGGTTCGAGAATGGTGGGGGGGGGAAGTTGGGGGAGGGTTTGGAGAGAGGGAAATGGGGGGGGGGGGTCCTACACATTGTTGCCATGTAGTGAATGAATGGATGCGTAAAATGGGTGACATAAGGCAACGTGTAGGAATAGGGGGGGGGGGGGGTGCAGGAGGAAGGGGTTAG